CTCTGGTAAGGGGCTGAGTTTCTAAAATCTGAATTTATGAATGACCTGGGTAAGGAGCTGAGCTGGGCTCAAGCATTAATAAAATCTGAATTTATGACAGACCTGGGTAAGGGGCTGAGCTGGGCTCAAGCATTAATAAAACCTGAATTTATGACTGACCTGGGTAAGGGGCTGAGCTGGGCTCAAGCATTTCTAAAATCTGAATTTATGACTGACCTGGGTAAGGGGCTGAGCTGGGCTTGGGCATTTCTGAAATCTGAATTTATGAATGACCTCAATAAGGGGCTGAGCTGGGCTCAAGCATTAATAAAATCTGAATTTATGACTGACCTGGGTAAGGAGCTGAGCTGGGCTCAAGCATTAATAAAATCTGAATTTATGAATGACCTCAATAAGGGGCTGAGCTGGGCTCAAGCATTTCTGAAACCTGAATTAATGAATGACCTCGATAAGGAGCTGAGCTGGGCTCAAGCATTTCTAAAATCCGAATTTATGACTGACCTGGGTGAGGGGCCGAGCTGGGATTGGGCATTAATAAAATCTGAATTTATGACTGACCTGGGTGAGGGGCTGAGCTGGGCTCAAGCATTAATAAAATCTGAATTTATGAATGACCTGGGTAAGGGGCTGAGCTGGGCTCAGGCATTAATAAAATCTGAATTTATGAATGACCTGGGTAAGGGGCCGAGCTGGGCTCAAGCATTAATAAAATCTGAATTTATGACTGACCTGGGTGAGGGGCTGAGCTGGGCTCAAGCATTTCTAAAATCTGAATTTATTAGTGACTCTGGTAAGAGACTGAGCTGGGTTCTAAAATCTGAATTTATAAATGATAAAGGAACATCAAATGTGAGACTCTGGTAAGAGACTGAGCTGGGTTCAAGCATTTCTGAAACCCGAATTTATGACTGACGAAGCTCTTTGGGATTTTGCTGGTTTGCTAACTGGGCCTCTCCCCGTGTCCTGCCCCAGATCGATTCCTTCGAGCTGCTCTACTACTACGACGAGTACCTGGGGCACTCCATGTGGTGAGTGGTGCCCTCAGGGTGTGGGGTGGCACAGGGGCAAGGGCTTAAAGGGGAAAATAAAATAACCCTGAGGCAGAGCTGGCTGGGATAACGGCCTGCTGGCCAGGGCTGGATTAGGAGCAGGATCCAGATTAGGGGGGATCGCTGGAAAATCCCCTCTGCTCAGGGATATTTTGGGAGTGGAGGGACAGGGGAACAGCTTGTGCTGCCAGGGGGGACGGGGGGTTCCTCCTGCTGCGCCCCCAGGTGTGCCCCCAACACCCCAAATACCATAAACACCCCAAAAACTCCAAATACCCCAAACACCCCAAACACCCTAAACACCATAAAAACACCCCAAATACCCCAAACACTCCAAATATCCCAAATACCCCAAAAACTCCAAATATCCCAAAAACTCCAATTATCCCAAATACCCCAAACACCCCAAATACCCCAAAAACTCCAAATACCTCAAACACCCCAAACACCTCAAATACCCCAAACACTCCAAATATCCCAAATACCCCAAACACCCCAAACATCCCAAATACCCCAAACACTCCAAATATCCCAAATATCCCAAACACTCCAAATATCCCAAATACCCCAAATATCCCAAATACCCCAAATATCCCAAACACCCCAAATACCATAAACACCCCAAATACCCCAAAAACTCCAAATATCCCAAATACCCCAAATATCCCAAATACCCCAAAAACTCCAAATATCCCAAATACCCCAAAAACTCCAAATACCCCAAACACCTCAAAAACTCCAAATACCCCAAATATCCCAAACACCCCAAAAACTCCAAATATCCCAAACATCCCCAATACTCCAAATATCCCAAATACCCCAAACACCCCAAATACCATAAACACCCCAAATATCCCAAACACTCCAAATATCCCAAATACCCCAAATATCCCAAATACCCCCAAAACTCCAAATATCCCAAACATCCCCAACACTCTAAATATCCCAAATACCCCAAACACCCCAAATATCCCAAATACCATAAACACCCCAAAAACTCCAAATACCCCAAACACCCCAAATACCATAAACACCCCAAATACCCCAAAAACTCCAAATATCCCAAATACCCCAAACATTCCAAATATCCCAAATACCCCAAACACCCCAAACATTCCAAATATCCCAAATACCCCAAAAACTCCAAATATCCCAAACATCCCCAACACTCTAAATATCCCAAATATCCCAAACACCCCAAATACCATAAACACCCCAAATACCCCAAACACTCCAAATACCCCAAAAACTCCAAATATCCCAAACATCCCAAATACCATAAACACCCCAAAAACTCCAAATATCCCAAATACCCCAAACACCCCAAACACTCCAAATATCCCAAACACTCCAAATATCCCAAATACCCCAAATATCTCAAATACCCCAAAACCTCCAAATACCCCAAACACCCCAAACACCCCAAATGGGAATCGCTGAGCAGGGAATCCCACAGCTACAGGAATCCCACAGCTGCTCCTTCCCCAGGCTCAGCACAGGGGCAGCTCCGGCTGTGGGCCGGATCTG